AAAACACTAATAAAGCCTACATATTTTACAATAAACGATTCCGAAAAATCACGCAATAGTTTTTTAGTATTAAGATATCGTAGATTACGCCTATACACTGACAATAAGCTTTTGACCTTGCACGGCACTCGAGAACACGTGAAGCTTACTGAAACTTCAACTTTGACGCTCACGGTTCACCTTTTATTAAATTAAACAGTAGGCTAGTGATATCATCACAATAAGATACCAACTTAAGATATAAGGTCTGAGTCCCAACTACCGAGAAATAGCGCTTTTTCCATTTTAGAAATAGTAACATAGAACTACTAAGCTGATGTGCCTGCAAGATTCGCGAGAAGTCCTACAACCGGTGAAATATTCTGGTTAGATTAGCAACTCAATCTTTGCTATTATGCATCAATATCAACTTATGAAAAATCAAATAATTTATGACACTATATAACAATCTAAGTAAAATTGTTTTAAATGTTTGACCTTTACGAACAAAAACCAAAAAGGAATTGACGAGACGTTTATTAGTTTATTTTTATTGATCTACATACATTAAATAGATTGAGTGCTTTGTGAAAAAAAAGTAGATTAAGATTTTAAGCATGAGTATTAAAATAATAAATTTACATAAATTTATTTCATTATAATAGTGTTTATAAATAAACGAATAACAACATGTGATTTTATTAAATATAGTAAACAGGTGATACATTCTTTCCGAAAAATAGACGAATATTCTCGATTATAAAATTGACAGTGAAATTTCGATTAGTCCATTAATCGTAAAAACAATTTTATAGACAGCAACTATCATCATACTCAGTTTTATTTAAATACAATAATCCTTATTCAAAGTAATCATTATCAATTTGAGTGGTAACAAGATATTTTGAATGCTGCAACAGAAACTCAGACTTACTCATCGCGGTTTCTTTTATTACCAGTGCTGAATAGTAGTGTACATTCTTCATCTATTTATAGATTATTCTATGACTATAATGACTGATTATGTGTTCATCAATATAACGTGCATACAAATATTAATTTCTAGTGAATCCCAACAAAATTACGTTATTACTAAAAAAATTTAAATTTTGAAATCCACCAATTTGTTGGAAATATTCACGTGTAAGTTTCTGCACGTTTACTGTGAAAGCTATTTCTCAAAGGGCCCGTGAAAATACAAAATTTTACTCAGTCGGATAAACCACATACGAATGCAGATACGATACATAAAAAGTTACACATTTGATTTATTAGATTAAGGACATCCTTATATCTAAATTTACACTATTATCTAAAAACTAGACAAATATTTTAGAATTTCGTTTCGGAGATACGCTCCTACATCGTTTTCCTACTTCTAAACAATCTACACGCTGCTATAATAATTCTTAAGACTCTTAACACAAGACTAAATTCAAGTTTTAAATGGTGGTGAAGAAATTCATAATCTATACGAAGATTAGTGCAACACCTCACGATACATATTTCAGCATACGCCGTATTTTTCTTAATATTATTTAAATACATATATTTAATAATTTTTTTTTATGTAGTATATATTTTTTTTAATAGTAATACTACTATATACCTTCAGCTTCACATTACAATAATATTATTTTCTAAATACATACACATCAAATTTGCGATATTCATTACATACTACATTTTTTATTATACATATTTTAAATAAGATAAAGATGGATATATATGTATATAAATATATACATATATCTTTAAAATATCCCCGAGTGCAATAAAATTCGAGGCGGGAATTACACAGTTCTCAGAAATTAAGGAATATTGATCAATTGGGCTAAATAGGTTTCTAAATTATTTTATATACTAGAAAGTATTATAGTATGGTTAAATAGTCTTAAAGCTATTAATAAAAAATTGTAGATTATAATCGATGTGAAAGTCGTAGCTGAAGACAGGAGTCCTGCTTGTCAGATAAGTGAGGGTGTTAATTTCTGTTAAAATGGGAAACATGATCACATAGACACACCCTGCATGAGTGATGTGACTAGTGATGGGCTTCCCAAGTCCACAGACTCATTCTAATGCTCAATATGTAAATAGGCTCTGTAACTACTTGAGCTTAAATGGAAATGCTAGCGAGCAAAAAGCTACTTCATCTAATTAAATCAATGGAGGAAAGCGTTGCATCTTTAACACTACTTAATGTGTTACTGGTAAAGATATATTAATTTTAAGTTTTCTTTTACTTTAGTGTTAGAGATTCAATTTTGGAAATGGATTTGCTATTCAGCTGTACATCATAGGCACTCTGTGGCTTCTAAATGCGTTTTGTTATTCCGCGAGCGGAATTAATATCATTATCTTACATAAACTATTTTGTTCATTCCAAAAGACACGTTTTGGTGAAATACTGCAGTGTATTATTCCTTATATTATTATTATGTGTGACTATTACGCGCATTTCATAGACTAGTCTGAATGTATTTTTACGTGCACCAACTATAATATTGCTATGCACTATTTTAAACTAAAGATCTTTGATCTTAGCAAACCCCAACGCACTCAAAGTCTACTTCTAAACATTTTTGAATAATTATAAAAATGCGTGGTAAATGCTACGTAGTCACATAAGAATTTGTCACTTTTACATTAAATATTTAATTAGAAATAGTCATTTTATTAAATATACATTAAATATTAAAATTTGAAGTGCAAAAAAGTTATATGCCTTATTTGTTTTTTTTTTAACTTTGTACCTTTGTTTGTGTAAAAATGAACGTTTTGTTTTTTTTTTATCATTTTGTATTCCTTAACGCTATAGCTAGGGGTTAAAGTGTTTCAATTAGTGTTTATTCGCTCAATTTCAAATTGAGAATATTTGATTTTATAATATGGATATTAATTGCTATGCTTAATGGCGATTAACCAAACAGACATTAATTTTGGTTATTTAGGGCAAAGAGAAACTATTTTTGATATCAATTTGACCAAATAAGGACGCAAACTTTAGGAATTCATTTCAAAAATGTAATGAGAGGGAAGTTAGGGAACGCATACACATGCACAATAAGATTGATAGTAAAATATAAATTGAAAACATTCAAATGCACAGAATTCATTTGGAGACAAGGTTACATACAGAATGTGAAATTAAAATAGTGATATTTAAAAGAAATATAATTATTTTTCTCGAGCTAATAAAGCTTTAAATAATCCTAAAAATAAGAATACCTACTATTTAATATATTATAAATAATAATTCTTCACAAATCGTTCCACCTATTTCCGTAAATTTAATTCAATTCAATATTAATTAAAACGTTAAAACATTCAAATTTCCTTACAGGATTATAAATTTACAGTTTTTGTTGTGTGTACTTTATTTTAAAGTTTATTTAATCGAAATATTTAATTTTCCTAAACTTCATTAAATTATTATTAGTTAATTCTAGGTACCCGTATTTATTTTTATTGAGTTATTCATTAAATTCAACTTATTGTTTTGTTTTTATATAACTTTCTCTTATTAAATTGATGATTGAATGATTATTATTCAATTAAAATCTTAGTATCCTAATCACACGAAATCTCAGACAAAATAAATCAAATAAAAATGCCAAAGTAAAAGAATGAAATCAGATCTTTCCAAACTTTCCAAATTTTTTGAAAATCAAATTTGCAAATTGTTGTCTCGATAAATTATGAAATTTTCAAATCCAACGCATAAAGTTACAAGTACATATTACAGGTTATGCTATCATTTATTTATACAATCAAAATCATATGAATATTGCATCATGTTAATTAATTTTGAGTAAGTTAATACGCTTATAAGATGGCGAATACCTACTTTGGATTCAAATCTTAAACTAATATTTTGTGTATGTCACACTTTATCTGAAATCTTATAAGTACCTAATACTTAGTGGATATAGATTAAACTATTTTAAGTCTAACATTATCTACATATATATCTATTGGTATTTCGAGATTCTTCATATTATTCTGTAGCAATTTTGCTCGTATCTACAATGTAATCTAGCTCGCTAAGATCTATTTATCCCTAATGTATAAAGATTATATTTAATAAACTTATCTGAGAAATTTACAAAATTGAAGAGTTTAAATTATTGGAATATCATCGACATTCATTTGAGAGAGGAAGTGAAATAATTAGTGTGAATAATAGTGAATCAAATTCTGAAACTCCGTAGAATAATTTTACCATAAAAGCGAAATAATTTAAAATGATTATTGTAGGATTAATAAAATTGCATAAAGATACAATTCAACAGTAAGCTTCATCATTGATGCTTAAAACATACTTGTTGGATAGAAATTTTCTACTGACTAAAATAGAAGAAAGCGAAATGATAGTTTTAATAATTGGAACAGGAATGACGATTTATTAAAAGGTATTACTAAAGGAAATAGCCATACTTCCGTTTAATCAGATAAAAAAAATCTACATTACTAATGAATAAATAAATGCATAGAATATTCTATCAAACTGAACAACATTACATTAAAATCAGCTCACATTGGCTTTTTTCATTCCTTAAAAACTCGAAACTATTTACATTCGTCTAATTTGCTTTTCTTATTTCACTTAGTCCTAAAGTGATGTCTATAATTAGTCAAGATAAAAAAGAAATATTTAAAAGCTTAATTTAAATACCTCAAAGACTTACAAAATTTCTAGTATGACAAAATTAGGTACATGCTGGGATTTCGAGTTTTGAATAAAGGAAATTTCGATCGAGCATGCAGCTAATGAGAATCCAACTTTTTTTTTCTACAATGATGATGGAGACGAAAATCTTATAGTGCAAATTTTTTCTGATCGTTCTAAAGAAGTAAACAAGTCTTAAGCACAATAAATGCATTCGAGTTTTGATAAACATGTAACAGCTTAAAACGAATACAAAATTTGATGTTCCGTCAAAAATCGTTATGCATTTATTTTTCGGAAAGCGAAGTCCATAGTTAATTGTTTTTTAAAGATAAAAAAAGGAAACTAATACTGTTAGAAATATCTTTATTACGACTTGCCACTACAGCTTTTAAATGATACCTATTTTTGTCATAGCAGTAATTCTAGCAAAGAAACGAATCACTAAATTTATCACTATAAGGTTATTAAAAATTTAATTACACTAACTATGAATTACACAAGCAGAGAAATTTGAGCATCAGATATTTACCCTAATCCACTAATTTTACTTTTTATTTAATAAATTAAAACATCTTTTACTCATAAAAATTATAAAATGGATATTATACATATTTAGTATCATTGATAGAATCGAAACAACAGTTCCAAATTATAAATTCATATTCACGATTTTGTTTTAAATACGATACAATTAAATGTTTTAATTTACTTATTGATATACCTGTAAAATTAGTGGATAATACATAACGCCCTCTATTTATCTTCTTCCAGAAGAACCAGATCGTTAGCCACGACGTCCGAAACATGAAGGTATATAATCCAATACATAAGATTAAAACAAACGAAGCAAACCGGGAAAACTATACGGGAATATTTGTCGATGTCTGATGGCGTCATTCCCAGTAGTTTGCTAATATCCTGAAATGAGAAGAGAATGAAATTATTTGTAAGAGTCGGCTTATGAAGGTATATAAAATATTAGAATAATTTTGGAGCAACTTGGAGGAAAAGTAGTCTGGAAATTAAAAGAATACGACGATGAATTCAGAATCGAGATATTTATAATATTAATATAATATTATATTTATAAGTTCAATGATGTTTTGTGTTCAATTTGGAATCCAAAAAGATGTGTGGTGTCGTAGGCCACCGGATAGGAACAAAGTTCCTTATTATAAAAATATTAATTTCGAATTCTGTTCGAGGTATAAAGAAAATAATTATTCGGGTATACATTTTCTATTATGATTTTTTTATTGACAAAAAAAAAACTACTTTACAAAGCTATCAACTTTATTTTATTCACAATGATTTATAAAATATATATAATAATAATATACAAAGAAACAGCTGTTTATATGAGTAATAATAATAACCGTCATCACGTAGACTATACATTAGACACTGTATAGCCATAATACTAAGACTATATATAAATAATAAAAATCTTATGTTACGGACGTTTTTCCCGGTTAGGGTACCCCTCCGCATCGTCCCATAAGGAACTTCGTTCCAAAAATTAAAAACTAAATAATCCATATCCTATAGTAAATAACCCATATCCAAATTAAATAATCGATATCCTTTTTAATATAATATGAAATACGTAAAAAATTCGCTTTGTGGATCGCCAGCTTTCATCGCATAGCTTTATTTAGAAATGCATAAATATTTACCTTTCCTGGATGTATTGGATGGGGACCTGGATTTTCTTCGTCTGCTCCCCCTCTTCCTCCGTTAATGGTGTTCTCCAAAGTACCGCCTTTGGAATGCGCCTTCGGATCGTGAACTTTAAAACGGACTTCCTGTGAAATTGTTTTCTTACGATATAAAAAATAGTATTGTATTCATAAAAAACTAATCTTCTATTTATAATTTAAGAAATCGGTTGTCTGTAAAGTCCGTTTACTGACGATAGTTGAACGTGACAACGTCATAAGAAAATACTGATATTAATTTCATTTTTCAATTATCGCAATTATCGTTGCTATAAACAATTCACACCACATTAAATTTTCACTGAACTTCATACTTGACGAAAACATGTAAATGTATTATTGTATAGTGCAGCAGCTGTCCACGCGGTTGTATCGCTCACTCAAGTAGGAGAGAGACAGATGTCGAACGCTGCCGAACGCGGAGGCCGATTGTGCCTCTTTGTCGCTCGTTGCGCGCTCTCGCTTGCACTTTAAGCCTTAAATGGAACGCCTCATGAGTCATGCTTTTACGTGCGTGCAGCCGGCTCCATCGAATTATAAGACGTTCTCACGTCAAAAAAAATGTTTACACAGCTGTCACTTCTATAATCTTATAAATTGCTATTTTTGTTCTAGTTTAAAAAAAATCTAACGGATTATTTGAAATGGTTCGAAATCTCGGCGCCATCTATTGTACTATTTAGTTTATTAAGTCGTTACTTAGTAATGATTTATTAAGAAAATAATTTCAAAATTGTTCGAAAACGTACAGATGGTCTGCTAGGAGGACATCTGCTTAAAGTATTCATCTTCGATAAAGTGTGTGGATCGCCGACTGGAGGGCATTCTGGAAGTTTCTTCTCCGAGGCAATTTTCTGTATAGCCACAAATCGCTGTTTCCTCATTTGTATTCTCTTAGCCATATATCCGACAGTTGCGTATTCTGAAAAGATCGGAGAGCTTCGCTATATCAGAGGACTGCTGCGTTTGATTATAAGTTCGCGGTGCAATTTCATAATTTCGCTTTAAATAAATCATCAAAACATCGCTTTGCAATAATAATAAAAATATTACTAAGGAACCATTACCTAAAAGACTCGCGAAGACCATTACGAAACACGTTCCTAAGTAGACGTCAATTGATTTTACGTATGAAATTTTTGGTAGGGCAGCGTTCGTCGATGACATAAGCGTTGTCATTGTCAGCACAGTGGTGACGCCGAGAGCCACTCGAGCCGGAGTGGCGTTACGGTTCAACCAAAACGACACCCAGGATATGATCACGATGAGTCCCGATGGAATGTAAATTTGGATTAGATAGTAGCCCATAGAGCGCACAAATTGTATTTCACATGCTAATCTTGAATAATTTCCTGCAAAAAAATTCAATGTGAAGTACAAAGTAAAACATTGACAAAAAGGTTTTCGCTGTTATACGGAAACGACATTACAACAGAATTTAATTTCATACTACCAAAACAATATTTGATTCGATCCAATAAATAAATAGCTAAGGATCTATTTATTTTCAACAAATATTTACAAAATTTACCCAATCGAATTTATAAAGTACAGGTTTTATATAAAATTTATATCCAAATCTTTAGTATGTTAATACGACTGTAATAATTTATTAGTGACCCTTTTAATATAAATAACATTATGATATAATAAAACAAAACAATTAGGTCCAAAGACAACATTGCATCATATAACAATTCCACACCACTCATTGTGTTTTAGTGCAACAATACGAAAGCAGGACGTGATAAGATTCGTGGTTATTTTTTTGTCCAGTGTTTCCACGTTGTGGTGTTTCTGTTAATATAACACAGTACATTATTCCCGCGGACCCAAGTACCTGTTGTGAGGGAGATCTCCATAGCTCGTTGGCGGTGACCCAGGACTTTGAACTGCGGTAGCGACACCTCGCTGGAAACACCCACAGAGTTGGGCCCCTCGTTCCATTTGTATCGGATGTCCCGCATGGTGTAGCCGACTGTGCGCAGCGGACATTATAAATGAAACAACCCCGGGCCCATCACAATGGGTTTTACAACTCGAGTCCCTGTTCGGTCGGGGTAGAGCGGGAATTCGCGAGATTATAATCGCGCAACTCGTCGTGCGGTTTTCGTGTCGTGTTTAGCGTTGTGTGCGTGTGTTACGATTTTAATTTTCTGCACACGGGCTGTGGGAGACGGGTTCGGTGGTAGAGCGGTAGACGGAAAGTGCTTAGGGAGCGGCTAATGCAATGAGTTACCTGTCGTCAAAGTTATGACGGTAGCGCGTTGGCGATGACCGAGCACCCGAAACTGCGGTAGTTGAACTTCGTTGCTCATGCCGACACTGGAATGGCCGTCCTTCCAATGGTACCGAATGTCTCTCATCGTGTACCCGACTCCGGAGACATGCCAAACACACAAAACGCTATCACTTACGCTGCGAAGTACCGTGTATCCCTCACGTGGCTGCACCCCGTTTCTCGGTGTAACTCGCGGCCTCACAATATGGCGAGTCACATTGAGTCGAACAGATAGTTTAAATGTAACGCGTAAGCTACAATCGGTTCGACTCTTCATGGATGATAGAAAAATATAAGTCTACTGAATTCTACCTAGAAAGTCAGATAAAAAAAAATCCAAATCTACGTAATGATAAGGCCACAATACAAAAACGTAGTTACGTAATAAAAATGGTTCTAAGTCTATGTTAAAAAAAATAAAGTACTTTATATCTAATTTACAAGCACAAAAGAGAAATTGGGATTAAAAGGTCACGTAAAAGACATGCGTGTGCCAAATTTCCTATTTGCAAGTGAGGAGCGAAAGCGGCGGTGTTGCGAGGGTTGGGTTTGTGCGCCGCGCTCTAGGCCGCGAACCGCATCGTCTTCGGTGTTAGCACGGACCCACCGGCCCCGCCTCCTTTGACCCGCTCAGCGTTTTTCAGCGCCGATGTCACATCATCATTTCTTTCGCTTGATGGCCGTGAGATTTAGGCTTACTATTTTTATGTCTGCCTTCTGCGGGTGCTGTATGCGAGAAGGAGACGTCCCAATTTATGAAACCACGAGGAAAATCACAGCACGTGTCGACGCTTAAAGTTTTACGCTTGTGCTAACAGGGTAGCCCTGAGTAGCAGATCTGTGATACAAAAAAGTGGTCACAACGCGGTATTTGTAAGCCTAGTGATGTTGCATTGTGGTAAACAAATCGAAATATCGTTTATGGCTTTGAGTGAACACGAAAACATAGAATATAGGTACATTACAATTCTCTTATTTTTCTATCATCTGACCGTAACAGTACGTATGTGGCTAGAATTAAATTCATAAACATAATATTTTGTTTCTCAACGAATTTCACATTAGGAATACACTGAAAGCGTGCCTTTGAAAACAATAAAATATTCATTGTTTACCTGAACTTAAGATCTATTATGATATCTTCACACAATTTTTTTTTTTATTCTCTTGATTAATATCGAAAATAATAAAGAAAGTGTATTATCATTTTATTATTTCTCAAATGTAATCGAGATACTTACAACTTTCTATTTCTATATGGCATAATTGACGATCCATTGGAAAGTATTGCAGATTCATTGGACAAGACGCAGTAATAGTCAATCTGAAAGAAAATTAAAAAAAATTTGCTACTTTCATTATAATCAACCGGCAAAGTTATAAGCCTGCTTAAGAAATTAATCCGTGTTATAAAGAGCTTCTAAGCCAAGTTCATACCTTATACTTCTAGTTATTGAGCCAGAGTAATGTATACGTATAAATTCGTTACTTGTCGTAGCTATATGGAAATAAGACTGTTTTTCGTTCACAAAGAATGTGTCGGGCACCCATATGTTCTTTATGAATTCGGAGCCAACCGACAACGTTTCAACTCCTGTCCTTTTTTTGTACGCCAATCGCGGATCGGTCCAAAACTGTCTGAAGTAAAAGTCCAACGTGAAGTCCTGAGGAAAAACTGTAAATTAACTACGAAATCGAGTTAGTTTAATATATAATGATTTAAATAATTTTGATCTTGTCTAAGCTTGGAACGTTCCACAACTCCTTCGAATTTCGCTATCCGACATTCAATTGATATCTGTGGGACCTTCTAGCGGTTTGTGTTAGTCGAATCATTTAAATACGACGCAAATAAAAAATGCTGCTTTTTTGAGCTGCGGGAGATCGACTCAAGATCAAAATCATTCCAGTTCTAGTATATGTTATGTATATAGCAGATTTCGATGTAAAACACTATCTGACATACTGACATCTAACATCTACATGCGTTGTATTTATTACGTAAATCCATATTATTATTTTAAATACGCACACCTAATACAACGACTGTTCAAAGCTCGATAATTTAATACAAGTATCACAAAAAGCTTTTGATTCCTCAAAATGTTAATTTTTTTTACACATTAACGACATCCATTAATACAAATCGAGAGGCAAGCTTTAAATAATTAAAAAATAACCCAAAAGTGCACGTGGTGTATTGGTGACACTCAGGAAGCCTACGACACATAGGTGTGGTATGAAGTATGAAGGAAGGTAGGTGCTTGACAACGAGGTGAGTGGGTGAGGCGCAGGCAGTCACCCACGGCTCGATAAAGGCAATTCTGTTTTAATTCAAGCTAATAAGCCGGCACGTGTACATGTTGCCACCAAAAAACACTTTGGAACAGGTTTGCGGTATACTCGTTAGTTTGCGGTTGGATAATTAGGCGACCTCTCCACCTCGGGCCATGGATCACGTCTCATTGTGACCTTTACAACTTTGATTTGGTTTCCACTTAGGGATACTTCGCCCAATAACAATTTTAGCAAGCTTTTTAATCTCAATAACCGAACTCATTGTATGTATATTACAACGAACAATCTGACGTTTTAGCCGACATGTAATTCCAAAGAATTAGAAAGCATAAATTGAACGAAAAATAAAAATATACAAAAGGTCAGATAAAATCGATAAACCGAGTGATTGAAGAGTACTAAATTGCTTTTATGTTAACAATAATAAATATGGGAACACAAAATACGTACATACACAACAAACTACGGAATGGGTCACGATTAAGTCATACAGTCGTCGCAAATCCACAGTATGAAATTTAAATTACTTTACGATAGCCTGCAGGTTAGGTTTATTTAGTTTTTGTGAAATAAACGTATTAACTGAATCTGGACTTTACAGAAACAAAATAAAAAATCCAAACAAAATAAAAACAGGTATCTTCGCTGAACAACAAAATAATAACACAACTTTGGAGTTACGAGTACTGCAAGGACACACAACTGGATAACTTGAAGGTTTGACGGTTGCTTTTCTTATTATGACGTCACACTACAATTTTGAAGAAAAATAATCAAGTACAAGACACATAATAAGAAAGCAAGTGGGTGGACAAAGGGCCATCTGCTCCACCAAACGCGGACATGCTCGCAGCCTCGTGTCTGGGGCTGCTCGGTCGCAGCGGCGCGTACGCAGCCGTCACGACCGAGACAAGCGTGAGCTGACATTGGCGAGTACCATGAGCACTTCGGAGACGGAGCTGATAGAGAGCACATACATGGTGACGCCCACCTCCACTGGCGGACCTGCAATCAAGCCCAATTGTGAGTCGCGCGCGCGCCTCGCGCCGTGAAAACCAAACCAGAGGACGGTGACGTGCCCCATTGCCGTCGAGCGGAGTAGGGGACGCGGGAGGCGCGGAATGCGTTCGAGTGGCGGGCTGTATTAGCGGTCACGGCCGAGTGTACAGCGCGATGTCCGACACCGCACCACACACTACACGCGTCTCTAAACGGTGTCACGCCTATTTATCAATCGAACCGTGGACACGGGTGCTACGATGAACGGTTAATGCTGGTGATAAACTAAGGGACTTTTGCTATGTATGCGTTGTGTCTTTTAAATTGCTTTTAAAAAAGATACCATTTTCACTTCAGACAGAGAGCTGATGGAGAGCACGTACATGGTAACCCCCACTTCCACGGGTGGTCCTGAAAACGACACAATAGACAAAAAAACATGACTAGAATTTGGCCATATTGAGCGCGATATATTTTGTTCAATCGGTACAGTTTTATTTATTTATTTATTTACTATTGATAATATTATGTATGCTCTCTGTACCAATAATCAATTACTCTAAGAAAACAGGGCGTAAATAGTAGGCATGACTTTATCAGAAAATTCAGAAAAGTCTTTTCTCAGTAAACGTTTTGTAGTTCCGTTTTATATTTGCTTTTGGTAAGATACATGCGAAAGTAAAATGAATGTTAAAACCGAAAAATTAAATCGGGAATATGTTAAATGCGATGTGTAAAAGGAAAATAAGGCAACCTATGCAGAAATACGGATAGAGTGTTTATTCCTTTTGAGAAAACTTGTTTCGAAAGCAATAAAACGTTTTCATTTTAACGTAGTACGATTGCGAAATATTTTATTCATAAAACATTTTGAAGGCAAATTTGTAGCATTTACGCCGCTGTCCTGAATCGGACGCAACGCATAATAAATTCAACGGGGTTCCGTTTTTCAGCACAAAATAATAATTCCCTGAATAGATTTTGGTGAGCGTGAAGATGTTCTGGACATAATTTGCAATATTATTTTCATTGTGGAATCCGAATGCTTTTGTTTGGGCACAATATTGATTTAGATCCCATATTCATTCCCATTAAGGGGACAGAACCAGTAGATTTTCCCCCTTATTTTATAATTTCAAATAGGAACATACCTCTCGTTTTCTTTTTATTGTAATTAACAACTTTTGTTTTGTTGAATAACAATTGTTTAAAGAGATCTCTGAAACGCATTGGTTATAATGTTTATATATTATTGCGTATTCATTAATTACATTATTGCTGTTGCAATTTAATTATGAACAAGGTAATTAATTGATTGCGTTGATAATTAACCAACCTTTAATCAAATCAATTTATTTAATTAACTTACAACTTTCTTGGTTTTTAATTTGACTCAAAAAAATTAAGTCAACTAATACGTATTTAATATTTGAGTAATAAAACTTTTTTTGTACTTACCTCCATAGTTGGGTCTTACTCTTTTGTCATAACTAATACTAAATGAATCCAAAATGGCCGATATATTAACATCGCCAAACATACCACCGCCACCAGCGCCCCTGCGAATTAAACATTCATTAAAACATTTTATCCATTCATAATAATGTATTTAATTAACATAAAATTAAATAAATGGAATAAAAAATAATATCAAGTATTTTCGTTGATTCATTAATTCTTGAAGACGTTAAATGGAATAAATAGGAAAGTATACATTTATATGAGACGAAGTTCAAAAAACTCTTTAATAATAATTGGTATTTATAATTTTAGGAATTAAATTCTTATTTACAAACCACTACATCAGACGAGCCCACCCACTAACTTGTAGATATAATAATGTAGTTTATTAAAATATTCCAGCATTTTTTTCATGCACAAGCAACACAGTTGGGCCTCTTTTATGCCAATTAAATTGCGAATACATTCCATTTATATTTTCAGCGTACTGCTTAATCATTCGAACTGCGCAATACAAATGTAGCTTCGCTGTTGTGGCTTGAGGTGAATGGCAGCATTTATCTTGTGTTTTGTACGGGCTTCGGTGGCTACCGCAACCCGTAACGAACTCGATAAGCTGTATAAATGATATGAATTCTATAAGCTCGTCCACATTTCTTTTGTCATGGATTTCTTTTATCATATGCCGTATACGTTCGTGTAGGCCCTTGTATGTAACGCATTGTACTTAACGTATTTTACTGGTGTTAGGACCTCCTGTGAGTCCGCACGGGTAGGTACCACCGACCTGCCTATTTCTGCCGTGAAGCAGTAATGTGTTTCGATTTGAAGGGTGGGGCAGCCGTTGTAGATGTCTATGGGCTCCGGTAACCGCTTAACACCAGGTGGGCTGTGGCAACGTCCACCAACCTAAGAAAAAAAATCACTACCGATACTGCTTTTCTTTATTACTTTACTACTATTCACAAAACAATGTACAATTGAAAATTGGTTAAAGTAAATTTTTTATGTAAAATATTCGCTATCAATTCTTTTTTTTTTTTAATAACTTTAATTTTTCTTTACACTCGTGTCAATGCCACATCAGCACTTAAATAGACCGTGACTTACGTGCAACGTAAGTCAATGACCTCGAAAATATACAGCTCTACGTCCAGACGTCCAGTAGTGAGTCCTAATTACAGAATTTAATTAAAATTTGTATTTAAGCATTACAGAACGGAACAGTGCTGGCGTTACTGTTGCAAAATCGATATTTTACCACGACATTTTCCGACCTTCGGATTACACATTTAAATTGCTACATTTTGTATTGATATAACCTTCTAAGTATTATAAAGAAGGGGTTCACATTTAACATCGTTTTTAAAACGATTTTACGACTTACGACTTTAAAACGTATAGCAGCAACAAATATTTTTAATAATAGTAATAATAGTAATAAATACCTAGTAAAAAAAATACATGTGTGCAATTCACACGTGGTAGAAGTGAAACTTTCCAAAATTAAAATACAATTATCCTAAACGTCTTAAGTATATGTAAAATTTTGTCATTAGTAAATAATTGTAAGGTAGTGCCCTCTGTGAATTGATATTTTAATTTCACGTATAATCCTAAATTAAAATTCACTACAAGAGCTTTCATACACACGTTAGTATAAAAAAATCTCACAGATGGCGCTGTATTAAATAGTATGTATATTTCTGTCTCGTTCTTTGCTGGCTTCATCCTACACATTTTTGTATTTGTGTCTCTTACCTGTCGTTTTTTCCGTTGCATCCGGTTTGAAATCACAACGATTCTAAAGAAGTTTTCACTTCAATAAATAACTAGTAATATATTTATTATTTTAAATGACTGAGAACGAATCACAGGTAGAGCAACGACTAAAAGCTTCGTAATAAGATAGACTATTGTTAATGTGTGCAACCTTTTTTATTTATTGCTTAGATAGGTGGACGAGCTTGCAGTCTACCTGGCCTTAAGTGGTTACTGGAGCCCATAGATATTTACAACGTTAATGCTGCCAGCCACCTTGAGATATGAGTTCTAAGCTCTCAGTATGGTTACAACGGCGGAGCAGTATGGCTTCCGAGAGGGCCGCTCAACGGTAGACGCGATCCTTCGCGTGCGGGCCCTCTCGGATGAGGCCGTCTCCGAGGGTGGGGTGGCTTTGGCGGTGTCACTCGATATCGCCAACGCGTTCAACACCCTGCCCTGGTCCGTGATAGGGGGGGGCGCTGGAACGACACGGAGTGCCCCCCTACCTTCGTCGGCTGGTGGATTCCTACTTGGAGGACAGATCGGTCACGTGTACCGGACACGGTGGGATCGTGCACCGGTTCCCGGTCGTGCGCGGTGTTCCACAGGGGTCGGTGCTCGGCCCTCTTTTGTGGAATATCGGGTATGACTGGGTGCTGAGGGGTGCCCTCCTCCCGGGCCTGAGCGTAATCTGTTACGCAGACGACGCGTTGGTCGTGGCCCGGGGGGGGGGGGGGAGTTTTGCTGAGTCTGCCCGTCTTGCTACGGCTGGGGTGGCGCATGTCGTCGGCAAAATCACGAGATTGGGCCTCGACGTGGCGCTCAGTAAATCCGAGGCCATGTGGTTCCACAGGCCTCGGAGAGTGCCACCTGTCGATGCCCATATCGTGGTTGGAGGCGTCCGTATCGGGGTCGTGGTGCAGTTGAAGTACCTCGGCCTCATTCTGGACAGTCGTCGGACCTTCCGTGCTCACTTTCAGAATCTGGTCCCTCGTTTGTTGGGGGTGGCCGGCGCGTTAAGCCGGCTCCTTCCCAATGTCGGGGAGCCTGACCAGGTGACGCGCCGTCTCTATACAGGGGTGGTGCGATCAATCCCTATCAGGGATCATGCCCTATACGGGGCGCCCGTGTGGGGCCAGTCCCTGGCCGTGGGGGTAGCGAAGCTGCTGCAACGGCCGCAACGCACCATCGCGGTTAAGGTCATCCGTTGTTATCGCACCATCTCTTTCGAGGCGGCGTGTATACTGGCTGGGACGCCGCCTTGGGTCCTGGAGGCGGAGGCGCTCGCTGCTGACTATCAGTGGCGGGCTGACCTTCGTGCCCGGGGCGTGGCACGTCCCAGCCCCAGTGTGGTCATAGCGCGGAGGGCCCAATCTCGGCGGTCCGTGCTGGAGTCATGGTCCAGACGTCTGGCCGATCCTTCGGCTGTATCCTTCCCCTACTCTGTTTTACACAAACCTATAAAATATATTACGTAAACGAACTCACAACTCAAAAGTTCACTTTTTTACCGTTCTTACCTAATATTCTGGGCGTTTATTACATTTTTTCCTGTTACAAACTCATTCATCGTGATATCTATTTATAAATCGACCGAAAAAAATATACCTCACATCCTGTTCTATAAATGGTAACATTTTGCCACTACAAGTACAAAATTGAATAGCTTTGTACAGTTACCGTGTAAAATAGATCCATCTACACTGTAAACTGATATGAGCTATAGTGAAAGTTTTATGCAGCACGGAAACACAATTTTATCTACTGTACTGGAAGGAAAGAGAAAGCAATAGCTGTCTTTTTCATGGATTTATCTACGAGTAGCAAAGAGCTATCACGGCGAATAATCGCACGATATGGGACAACAATATTTAGAGCTGTGCGGAAAGACCAGCTTACTGCCCACCTGGAGACCAATTTAAAATCGATTGATTCATGTTGAAATGTAGATGTCAATTTAAGTTTTACTGCACCTGAAATCGAGTTCATGGGGATTGTTGATACCGTTTATGAATTATGAGATAGTCGTTCAAAATAATAATTTCTGACTGACTCATTTTGGCTAAGGCTAATAATAGAACAGTTACAATGCTTCTTTGCCATTGTCGAATTCCAAATCTAGAGCCCAGGGTGGATATAGTACTTTTACTTGAGTAAACCTCTCCCTGCATAGGCTGATACGCTGCATAGTTTTCAAGCCCATCCAGCTGCTGTAGTCCAAATATTTTACGTAGTCTAATCCGATCAGGGACACACTAATGCATCTTCTAAATTCGCGACTAAATCCTTTCTATTGGACCTATCCAACGAAACCAGGTAGACCAACTTCTTCCAAAAAATCCGCTTCTCCATTCGCATTCTTCCAATTGCCGTGTAACAGTTACTTTCCATACAAACAATTTGATATTTCAATTTTACAAGAACCAACTATAACAAACTCAATAAGAGATTTAAAGTTAACCTTTAGGCGCTCTGTTGTATTGGAGACGATGAAAAATGAAAAACTTTTATCGCTTTACAAGCGGTTTTATTGTTTGCAAGATCAAGTTTCGTGCGGTTGAGGAACAAATTGATGTTCTTGAACTTATTTACTGGCATAAATGAAAGAGGAGCTCTGGGAAATACTGAACCTAAGAGATTCTCAGTGCCTTAAGGTAGTACTAAGCATTTTTTTATTGAATACATCGTTAAACGAGCTCACAGCTAGGCCGGTATTAAGTGAACACACCAAATGTGAATGAAGGGCAGGACAGGTAGCTTAGGGCTATGGGCAGAATCACGTGACCGTAACTTTTGAAACAAAGCATCATCAGCTGGTTCAATTTGATTCTCTCGTTGGTAAGTTAGATACTATAACCTACTGTGGTTTTAAAAATTATCTTAACGCCACCGTTATAAAATAGTGATTTAAAATTTTGATTTGCCACTTATATTTGATTTTCAAATTTCATTTTATCACCAATCTCAATCTTTCGATATGGACAAATATAGGCTTGCCATAAAGAGTAAATGTTATGTCTTTAACATGTTATATTTAAAAGACAGGTCTATCATTAAGTCCTACCCGAGAAATAAAGATGTTATTTCATTACGTGACGATTTCTACAAGACAACACCGTAAACTGCATTAAAAAAGTTGCTTCCAAAAAATACAATAAAACAAAGATTAAACTTAAAACTTCAGAACGGTTAAACTGCAAAGCCTTTATTTATTTACAAAATTGTTCTTCGACCAACAAATCAAGCGAAGAACAAGTTTCAAACAACAAAAACTTCATCTTAACGACTCGAGGATATCGTTCCTTTTAAAGTTAGACAGAGGGACGAGATTATA